ACAAGAATTCTTTGGGCTTGTGAAGCCATAAGTTTTAGACATATACATTGTATCAACAGTAGCATATTTATGTCAGAATGACTGTGACAGATATTTTCGCAGAATGAAAAGTATTTTTAAGACTATGGAAGGCAGCATTGGAGAGAAATTTGATAACTTGTATTTGTCCTCACACCTTTATAACTTGCAGGTACATACCTTAATAACTTGTATTTGTGTTTTACTGAAATTTGTTTGGTAAGGTTATTCTTTTAAATGACAAAACCTTAATAAATCGAACCTCCTGAAACTTTAAAGTGTCTGTAAAGCAAAGGACACAGTCAACAAGACAAAATGAGAGCCTACAGAATGGGAAAAGATCTTCACCAACCCCACATCAGACAGAGGTCTGATCTCCAAAATATACAAAGAACTGAAGAAACTGGTCATCAAAAGAACAAATAATACAATAAAAAAAGGGGGGAGTACAGACCTAAACAGAGAACTCTCAACAGAGGAATCTAAAATGGCTGAAAGACACTTAAGAAAATACTCAACATCCTTAGATGCAAATCAAAACAACTCTGAGATTCCATCTTATACCTGTAAGAATTGCAAAGATCAAAATCATTGATGACAACTTATGCTGGAGAGGTTGTGGGGTAAAAGGAATACTCCTGCATTGCTGGTGGGAGTGCAAGATGATACAACCCCTTTGGATGTCAGTGGTGGTGATTTCTCAGAAAATTAGAAAACAACCTTCCTCAGGGCCCAGCAGTACCACTTTTGATTATATACCCAAAGAATGCTCAATCATACCACAAGGACATGTGTTCAGCTATGTTCATAACAGCATTGTTTGTCATAGCCAGAACCTGGAAACAACTTAAATGCCCCTCTACTGAAGAATGGATAAGGAAAATTTGATACATTTACACAATGGAGTACTACACAGCAGAAAAGAATGACGACATCTTGAAATTTGCAGGAAAATGGATGGAACTAGAAAACATCATTTTGAGTGAGGTAACCCAGACCCAGAAAGACAATAATCATATGTACTCATTCATAAGTGGTTTTTAGACATAAAGCAAAGAAAACTAGCCTACAAATCACAATCCCAGAGAACCTACATAACAATGAGGACCCTAAGAGAGACTCACATAGATCTAATCTACATGGGAAGTAGAAAAAGACAAGATCTCCTAAGTAAATTGGAAGCATGGGGACCATGGTAGAGGGTTGAAGGGAGCAGAGAAAAATGTATATATCAAGAAAATAAAATAAAAAAAAATGGCAAAACCTCTTAGCTGTCAAACTGCATCAGAGATCTTTGAGATGGATAAAATTTTCCTTAAGGAGTTATTAATTTAAAAAATGACAGAAAACTTACTTGGTTGCTACCTTAAGCCATTCCTCAGGGTCCTCCATGGTCACTGAAGGTCATATTTTTCTTTTGCTGTTTAGCACAGAGTCTGCCAGGCTTTGGAAGATCCTGTAGACTAAGAAATCAGTAGGAAGAAAAGCCTACCTTGACCTGAGCAGCAAGGCTGTCGATTCCAGCAATTCTGTCCACTGTCTGGTGATCTTTAGTTTGGATGAAAGGCAGTTTTGCCCAGTGGTCAGTGTTTGGTAGTTGAAACAAATTGCAGATGAACATTTTTTTGTGCCCATCTGTCTTCTGTCTTCTGTCTTCTTGGGAGGAAGTAGAATGCCGCTGCTAGGAGCCAAACTGTCTCTTTTTGTTATGGAAAGTATTTTAATAATTAAGCATTTAAATGCCATATTCCCCAGATCTCTGAGCAGTTAAGGGCTGTTTACCGGGTATAGATGAGTTATATCTACAGTATAGAATCTGCCTGGAGAGCTGGATCCAAGCTTGACTGTACTGACTCTCAACAGGTAAAGCAGGGTTGGATTAAGAGACTTAAAAGCATATACCAATTTAAAACATGAGACATATTGCTTTGTAGTCTGGAATGAAATACAATGAACAGACAATTATAGCATTTAACAGTAAACATACATGCATTTAATATACATGTATGCACACACACAGAGTGAACAGGAATTGGGTGAAGTGGATGCTTTTGGTGGGCCCTACCAAACGCATGCCACTGCACAAAACACACATGCAACAGAGTCAGCACCGGGGAATTAGGCAGGGATACCTCAGTAAAGATGGCGGGACTTGGTCACCTGACTTCAGTCAAGATGGCAGCAGTAACATGTTGTATGGAAAACCCACGGTTTTTGAGCCACAGGAGTTCTAAATATAATAACAAGACAGAACTAGAGGCAAGATCCCCACTGTTGCCAAGCCACTGCACCACATGCCACAAGCCACAGTGGGGGAGGGGAAATGACTGGAATTGAAAACAGCTACCTCGTGGATTCGACTAATCTTGTAAGTTCCACGGCATCAGCAGTAGTGGTGGCAGGGATAGTTTGAGGAAAAGTGGAGCTGGTGGGAGAGCAGCAGAGCATTCACAGGCGGGTGGCTGATGGTTTGAGGGTTTATACCCTAGCTGAAAACGTGAAAACCCGTGAAAACAACAAATGAACACTGCAGGACATCTCTTCTCTACAGGCAGGGTATTAATGAAACAGTGACACCGCAAAGCCTATAAGAAAAGTCTCTTCTCTACAGGTGGGGTGAGAATGAAGCCTGACTGGCTCCCAGTCCGGGCGGCTCAGAAGCCAGAGGATAGAGGCCACTCCAAGTGGTCTTTCACAGCGGGGAGCAATTGCAAGTGGTTCAAAAGAAAAGAGAAAAAAGAAATATCTAGGGGACCCCAGGCCCTAAATCAAATGCACCACACAGCATGTACAGTGCTAGCATGTGAAGACTAACGTGGTTAGTCCAGTTTTTAGCTATGGGAAGCAACCAGAGATGAATGTCAGCAAAGGGCTCAACCATAGCCGTGAAGGCTGTGGTTTGGGACTGTAAGGGGAAAACTCACCACCGAAGCCAATGGTGTGAGTGGAGGTCAGCATTTAGGCAGATAGAATGCAGAAATGTTGTAAAGGAACCTGGTTCCGGAGCACAGGGTTCCATGTTTCCTCAGCCGGTCTGCTTCGGACGAAAAGAAACATGGAAAGAGCATGGCTGAGTCACGGCACCAATTGTTATGGTAAAAATAAAATGGCGCTGTTCCCCAAGTGGCTGTAGCGGACAGCAGGCCACAAGGAGCTGTGGTGGGAAAATGTGGTTCCTTGAGTGGCTGCCGGTGGGTCCTAGACAGGAAGTCGGGTGGTGGGTGAGAAACCAAGGCAGATAGTCACACCATGCAGAGAAAATGGGTATTTATTTAGTGGGTTATGGAAGAGAAAGGGGTTAAGGGGAAAAGGGAAAAGAGCAGAGAGAGGCAAAGAGACCAAGAGAAAGAGAAACAGAGGAGGGGGAGGAGAGGAGCCAAGGCAGCAGCTACCTCTTCGGGAGAGAGACAAAAAGTAAAGGAACTCAGGCTGGAAGCAGAAGGAATATCGGCTTGCCAAAGTGGAGGGGGTGGGACAGGGCTTTTTTCTGAAAGGAACAAGACATGACACTGCAGAGCAGTGGTGGTACTCACGTTTAGACCCAGCACTCAGGAGGCTGAGGCAGGTGGATCTCTGAGTTCCAGGCCAGCCTGGTCTACAGAATTCCAGGAAGCTAGGATTACATAGTGAGACCCTGTCTCAGAACCAAACAACCAACCACACAGCAACAACCACAAACAGTAGTGAGGCTGGATGGGGTGAGTGGTGCAGGAGGCAAGAGGCAGTCAGATTTCTGTGATTTGAGGGCCAGCCTGGTCTGCAATAAGTTCTAAGCCACTTATGGCTACATAGTGGGAACTTGTCTCAAAAACAAAACAAGGGCTAGAGAGCTCAGTGGCTAAAACACTGGCTGCTCTTGCAGGGGACCTGGGTTTGGTCCCAGCATCCATACAGTGATGCACAGGCATCTGCAACTCCAGTTCCAGGGGATCCATTGCCTTCTATTACCTCAGAGGGTACCAGACACACGCATGCTACACAGACATGCATACAGACAAACCACTCCAACACAGAAATAATAGATATTTTTAAGGTCAAAACAGATGTGAGTCAGTACTTGAGACTGACTCCTGTCAGTCTTGTGGCCTGGCTCCTCTCACAGACGTAAACCTAAAGTTTTCCAGGGCTGTCACAAACAAGACTCAGTTTTATTCATAGAAAACAGCTCTTCTTGTGCAACCCTGTGACCTGAGTCTTTACATCATGCTGAGATCCACCCAGTTCAAGTCAGGAATTTCAGACAAGCTCCTCGGCAGTTTCTTGAATTTGTTTTTGTTTGTATGTTTGTTCTTTTTGAGATGGGTTTTCCTGTATCAAGGCTGATAGCCATGAGGACCCTTAACTTCTGACCTTGCTGCCACCTCTTCCCTACTGCTGAGGTTACAGATGGACACAGCCATATCTGGATTATATAGTGCCAGGGATGGGAAGCAGGGCTAGTGCCTGCCGGGTAAGCACTCTGCCACCTGAGCTACATCCCCAGTCCTAAATATAAAATAAAAGAATAAAAATAAATAAACTTAAAAATAAAATTGTCCTTAGTTTTATTCCTCAAACCCCAATCCTCTGCAGGCACCTAGGCATTTTGTTCAGTCCCGTTCCTTCAGTGTGAGTGTTCCTTCATCCACCTATACTACCCAGAAAAGTCAAGAAGATATGGAAACGTCATTTTCTTTCACTAGGTATGGAATTTATTTGGATAATTTTTCTCTTTGCCTGCCATTGTTCATAAGTATCCCAGAAGATCTGAATTTATGGAACAGTGGACATTCTGAAAAACCCTTCACCAAGGCATGCTGTTCCCTCACCTCTAGAATCCTGTATCCCCTACTCTGAAGAGTCCGGAGTCAGTGGCATCTGCCCTTCCCTCAGCCCAGGTACCCAGCTCAGTTCCAGCCCTGGGCAGCCTCCCCCACCTCCCCCACCACCCTATCACCCCACCCCCACCCCAGAGGCACTGAAGCCTTCTGTGTGCAGCAGAGGGTAGGCTCTTTCTTCTAGAGAAGTCTGTCCCATTACAACGTCCCAGAGTGGAATCCAGGGCATATAAGGGGATGAGAAGGACGGCTGTCCTGAGTTAGGGAATGAATGCCCTGCAGACACACCTGCCTACTCCTTCCTGTTCCCTGGAGATATCTCTGCCAACCAAGCCAATGGGTCAATGGTTCCACACCCCTCCTCCAGTCTGCCCTTTTCTCTAGCTTGGACACTCCTTGGACGGCTCTTCTTCCTTCTTTATCATAAGTTCCAAGCTGACTTCCAGAGTCCAACGCACACAACCTCTGGTCAGCCTTCCCAGGAGCTGATGAAATTCGGCTTGGAACTTGGAGGATGAGAAGTAGAAGACAAGAGGGTCTATGCAAGAGTTGAGAGTGCTGAGGAGGATCACATAGCTCCGCCAGGATGGACTCTCACCCCGGACATAGCCCACCACATGGGACATATTGTAGGGGCCAAAGCAGACGAAGAAGATGAGCAGTGTGGCTGCTAGGAGCCCCATCACCCTCTTACGCCTGCGCCGGCTGGCTCCTCGGCTAAGAATCCACATCATGCGACTGTAGCAATAACTTGTGATACACAGGGGCACCATGAAAAGGACCACAGCTGCCTCTAGTCGCACAGGCAGCAGCACGGCCAGCTGGTCCTCCCGGAATTCCAGGTAGCAGGTTCCATTGGTCCCCTGGCTGTAGGTGGCATTTCCCCAGTATTCAGTGACATAAATCACACTACACTGAGCTGATGCCAGGAACCAGCAGATACCACTGACCACACCAGCCTGGGCCAGCCGTGGCCGGGTCTTGTACCACAGTGGGTAGGCCACACTCAGAAAACGTTCGATGCTCACAGCCGTCAGGAAGAGGGAGGTGAGGTAGATGGTAGTGAAGAAAAGGAACCCGGAAAGGGGGCAGAAGATGAAGGGCAGGAGCCATCTCATGCCACAGGCTGCCTCCACCATGCGAAACGGCAGGAACAGTAGCAGGAGCAGGTCCGAAAGGGTCAGGTTTAGCAAAAGTAAGTCCACGGCCACCGGGCGGCGGCGCAGCTTGCCCACGAAAACCACCAGGGCCATCAAGTTGAGGGGCAGTCCCACGAGGAAAACAAACAGGTACACGGAAAAGAAAAGCCAGTGATTGCCGGGAGAGAAGCTAGCCGCCATGTTTATGGGTGCTAGTGAGACAGAGATGAACAGGGGGATAGTGTGGGGAGTCAGGAAGTCTCCTGTTCCCCCACCAGGAGACGTACCCACCATGCTGGAGTGTTGCCATCACTGTCCACCCCCACCACCCGGTCACCACATACTCTTCCCTGCAGGGTCATCCTTCCTGCCTTCCTGCCTTTCCTATCCCCGACCCAGTGCAGACATCACCAAGATGTCTCCCCCTGGAACCCCCAGACCCATACTCACCAGCTTATTGGAAAACCGGCGCTCCGCTGCCCTGCACCTCGCGGGCTCCTCCAGCACTGGGCGATGAGCTAGTTGTCCAGCGAGATGATAAAGATTTAGTGGTGCTTGTGACGTCACTCATTGCAGAACTGCACAAAAGATGCTTTGAGCTCTGCTAGCTGGGCTATGCAAAAAAAAAAAAAATTAAAGATGTGTGCATGGCTGCATGTATACAGTCTTAACTGGGACCTTCCTTCCCCCTACTTTGAATTCATCTACTCCACTTGGGCTTTGTTATGCTTCTTTAGAAAGGACATATCGAGGGCTCCTCAGAGTGGGAGACAGGCTGATTGGAGTGAGGGCTGGGCTCTGCAGCTGGCTATTTCTTGCTAACTCTGTGACTTGGGACAAATGAGAACAGCTCTGTGTGTCCTATTCTATAACACAGAGGTAACAACACAGTTTCACAGATGAAAACCTACACTGGTCCAGTTAGGTAGCTCAGTAGCAGGAGCACTTAGACTGAGCCATAGCTCAGTTGGTAGAGCACTTGCCTTTCATTCATGAAGTCAGATTGTGATGGGCCGGTGATGGACCAGTGACAGACACAAACACACTTGGGACCAAAACTGCTTAGTTACACAGACCTCTTGCCTTCTATTTAGACCTAAACCTCAGGCAGGACCCCTAAGAAGATGGACATGGGGCATCATGGGTCCCCTTTATTCTTCTTACCAATGTAACCACACTGAATAAACAGCCTTTCTCTGCTTTTTGCTGTCACTTGTGGCTTGGGCTGGCCCATGGTGGGTGAATGGCAGGCTCTGGTTGGGTGGGGCTGCCGGGTTCTAGGTTTTCACCCTAAGAGCTGATAGCATTAGCTGTGCTGCTTGGTTATTGTCAGCTTGACACTTCTGTAGACACGTGTGGGAAGAGGAACCTCAACTGAGAAAATGCCTCCATGGGCCATTCTGTGAGGACATTTTATTGACTAATGATTGACGTTAGAGGCCCAGCATACTGTGGGTGTACCATCACTGGGCCCATGTTTCAGGGTTCTATAAGAAAGTGGGCTTAACAAGGCATGGGGAGCGAGCCCGTAAGCAAGCAAGCAGTATTCCTCCATGACGTCTGCTTCAGCTCCTGCTCCTGGTTCCTCTCTTGAGCTCCTGTCCTGATGTCCTTCTGTGAGGGTCTGAGACATAGAAGTGAAAGCCAAATAAACTTTTCCTCCCCAAGTTGCTTTTGGTCATGATGCTTCTCTCAGCAATAGAAACCCTAACCAAGATGTTAACTGTGGATATTTATGCTTGCCTTTAACTTCATTGGGTTATGTGTATAAACTGTAGTTTCTGTCCAACCCAGTCCTGCAGCCATTCAGTTCTAAATAAACACACAGTGACTTATATTAATTATAAACTGTCTGATCTATTACTCAGGCGTATTACTAACTAGTTCTTATAACTTAAATTAACCCTTAATTCTTGTCTATGTTTAGTTACGTGGGTTGTTACCTTTTCTCAGTAAGGCATTCTTATCTTGCTTCTTCTGTATCTGACTTGCGACTGCATCTCTATTTTTCCTCTTCCCAGAATTCTCCTAATCTGGTTGTACTGCCTATACTTCCTGTCCGGCTACTGGCCAATTAGCATGTTATTAAACCAATATGATTGGCAAATCTTTACAGTGTACAAGAGCATTATCCTACATCATACATGTGTGTTTAGATTTTTTTTTAAAAAAAAATCTATGTCTGTGTGTGTATGTATGTGTGTGTGTGTGTATGTGTGTGTGTGTGTATGTGTGTGTGTGTGTGTGTGTGTATGTATGTGTGCTACACCTCTCCCATCATGTGCCATGAAGAAGGAGAGAGGGGGCTCATGAAACAGCAAACCTTTAATAGCTGACCACATAAGCAGGTCACTTTCCAATCAGGGCTGCAGGACAAGGACTCAGGAGCCTCATTTCTCCTAACATCCCTGAGCTGGGGCAGAAGCAAGGTTTATAAGCACAAAATCCCACACACATTTGTTGCCAAGTTACAGTTACATTTTTTCACGGACCAGGAGTCAGGGGTTAGGGCTTTCCTTCTGTGCTCCGTCATTGTTAGCCGACACAAATGCAAGCTTTTCAGTCCAACCAATCAGATTCTTTTGTTCCTTCTGTTGTTAGGAACAGCCATGATGTTTCAGAAAACTAGATACATAATGACTATCTCCATGGTTTAGGGAGGGGGTTGATCAGCTATTGGAAAGTTCTCAGCTCCCCTAGGGTTTGAGAACCTGAACTTTATTTCACCTTCCAGGTAAAATGGAGTCTGAAGTCAAAATGGCTGTGCTTAGCACAAGGTCTTTTGCCTGCCCCCATCATGTGTACATGCATATAGGTGCCCTTGGAGGCCAAAGACGGTGTTTGTTCCCCTGGAGCTAGACTAACAGGCAACTGGGAGTCACTGGATGCGGATGCTGAGAACTGATCTCAGGTCTCAGTTATGGAGCAACTTCATCTCCCCAGCCCGGGTGGGTGTTGGAATATATCTTATACATGTATATATGCATCCTCAGAATTTTTTTTCTTTAGAAAAATATTCTGGGCAGAAGTGGCACAAGGCTTTAATCCCAGTACTCCAGAGGCAGAGGCAAGCCTCTGAGTTCGAGGTCAGTCTGGACTACAGAGTGATAGATAGCCCATGCAGAGAGATAGATAGTCCATGCAGAGAGAGCTGAAGTAAAGAGTTTGTTTAGTGAGTTATTGAGAGGGAAGGGAAGAGGAAAGGGAGAAAGGGAAAAGAGGAGAAGAAGAGAGAGAAAGGCAGAAACTGCCTCTTCAGAAGAAGGGCAGCTGGAGAGAGAGAGAGAGAGAGAGAGAGAGAGAGAGAGAGAGAGAGAGAG